GGGGGGGGGGCGGTCCCGGCGGCGGGGCTGGGGCGGGGGGGCCGATCCCCACGGCGTCCCCCCCCACCGGGCGGCTGCGGGTGTCCCACCGCCTCCCCCAGCCCCTCACCCAACCCGGGCTGCCCCGGCGTGGGACCCCCGCCCGGGGCCGCGCTCCCCGCTTCGGGGAATAATCCCACAGCGCCGCCTTTTCCCCACTTTCCCTCCCAGCCCGGGCGTTCTGGGCAGGGATTTGCACCAAAAATGCCAACGTCTTCCACGAGAGCTTTCGCCTGGCCACGGAAAACCTGTTTTCTGCCCCCAAAACGTGCAAAGCATGCCATCCAGCTGGTTTTTTCCAAATTCTTTATAGCCATGGCTGGTTACTGGGGGGGGGGGCCCGCTCGCTGGTGTGCATGGGGTGGCGGCAGCAGGGTCCTGGCACTCTCGGTGCTGGCACCGAGGACAGGATGGTGCAGGGAAGCGGGAGCCTTGCGTGGGCGCCAGCTCCTCGCCGCTGGCCCCAGGGGATGTGTGGGGCAGGGGCGGCCTCGGCCCCGCGCGTGGCGTGGCGTGGCGTGGCACGGTGGCAGGGGATGCAGGAGCAGGGTACCAGCCGGGGCCGGTTGAGGGATGGAGCATCCCGGGGTCGCCGGGCTCCTGCGTGGCAGCTGGTGGGCAGCACGCACACCGACGTGGCCGGTGTCACCATGGGCATCGCGAAGCCACCAGCCCTGGCTCGGAAATGCGGCAGCACTGGGTGGGGATTGCGGCTGAACGACGGTGCAGGCGGCGAGTGGGGGGTCACCATGTCCCAAACCACGGGGCTTAGCACCAAAACACAGGGTTTGAGAGATTTTAAAGACTTCAGGCACTGGTGAGCTGGAGGAACGCAGGAGGAGGATGGTGGCAGCGAGATGCCGAGGGGCTGGCAGCGGTGGTGGCACGGGACGTGGCTCTGCCAGCACAGCCGGGACCCACGGCCGCGGCAGAGGCTCTGGCTGAGCCTGCAGTTTCGGGAGCTGCGGCCGGAGGATCCCGGGGCTCCCGGAGCAAAGCCTCCCCACCCCAAAACCCCCTTGGCGGCGGCGGCGGGAGGAAGCTGCGGGGCGGCAGAAGGGCGGCTCCGTCCCCCCCTTCCTGTTTTGCTGCTTTCTGCTCCGCGCGCCCAGGGGAGGCCGCGGCTGCCGCCCGCGCGGGTTTCTGGTTCAACACGCTGAATTTGGCTCTGGTTTGGCCAAAAATAACCCCTTTCAGGTCTCTTTTATCTTGGGTGAGAAGCAAACCAGGAGTGAAACCCCGCTGGCCTCCCCTTTCACAGCAGCTGGGGCCAGAAGAGGGACAGGGTGGGGAAACTGAGGCACGTGTCCTGCAGGGCTGCTGGCGGCAGAGCCGGAGCTCCCGGGTCTGGCGAGGGAGCGGCAGGGACCGAGCAGGCGGCAGCGGCAGATAAACCGCCCCATCGGTGGGAGCCATCCCCACGCTGTCCCCGTCCCACCTCGCTGGGGACCGAGCCACGGACGGGGCTTATCGGCGTCCCCAGTGTCTCATTCGCCCCCGGTATCGCTGCCCGCAGCGCCGTAATCTGCCCGTTCCTGCCCGTGGGCCCGAGCCACGGCACCGACCCCGCACCTCCCTGCTTGGTTGGTGCCATGCTTTCAGCCAGCTCCTCTGCTCGGCTTCACCGGGCAGGAGCTGTGGCTGGGAGCCTGGAGCCACAGGTGGCCCCAGGAGGGAGCTGGGCTTGTGGGCTACCGCCAGGGTGGCCATGGTGCCGGCATCCCGGGGAGTCCTCGCTGCCCACCCAGAAACGTGGCTGGTTCCACTGGTCCCCCTGCGCCAGGGGGAGATGCCCGTGATGATGGTGTTTGGGAGGTGTCCGTCACAGCTAAGATGTCCATCCCGAGAAGTGTCCATCCCAGCTGAGATGTTCACCCCAGCTATGGTGTCCACCCCACCTATGGCACCATCCCAGCTAAGATGTCGGTCCCAGCTAAGATGACCTTCTCCACTAAGATGTCTGTCCCAGTTATGGGGTCCATCCCAGGGAAGGGTCCACCCTAGCCATGGTGTCCATCCCAGCCATGGTGTCCATCCCAGGGAGGGTGTCCACCCCCAGGAAGGGTCCATCCCAGCTGTGGTGTCCATCCCAGCTAAGATGTCCGTCCCAATTATGGTGTCCATCCCAGCTGTGGTGTCCATCCCAGCTAAGATGTCCATCTCAGCTATGGTGTCCATCCCAGGGAAGGGTCTGTCCCAGCTAAGATGACCTTCTCCACTAAGATGTCCGTCCCAGTTATGATGTCTATCCCAGGGAAGGGTCCATCCCAGTTATGGTGTCCATCCCAGCTAAGACGTCTGTCCCAGCTATGGTGTCCCCCCCGGCAGAGCCCCCCGCAGTGGCCGCCCCCCGAGGGATGGCAGGCCTTGTGCCCATTGCCAAGGTCAACACCTCCAGCTGATCTTTATCCCGGGAGGACGGGGAGCCGGAGCCGCCTGCC